TATTGCCAACAAGATCTTTGCGGTAGCTCTGGGCCTCGTCAAATCTTATAGATATTAATGATGTTTGGACACACAACCGAATTACGAACAATTAATTACTTGATTTATCCCCCAATTCCTTGTTTTTTTTCCTTTTCGCGTGACTTTGCCCCCTAGGTCTAATTTGCGGCTTGATGGGGTTAAGCTGAGGCTAACTGTTTATCTACCCGCATAATTGCTTTTGTTTTTTTTTAAGTGAAACATATCTATTCCTTCTTATTAATTATGAAATAAGATGAAAGTCGTTGCCTATACATTTTTAAGTTAAACAAAGAAAACTAGCTTTACATTGTCAAACCAAACTGAATATAAATTTTATCGCCATACTAAAAATAAGTTTTATCTTTGGTCAATAAAAAATTTGAATATTTTCAAATATGGGAAATTTTGTAAGTGACTTGCGAACTTTCCTTCTTATTAATTATGAAATAAGAGGAAAGACGTAAAAGAAACAAACAAAACAAAATAACATTTAAATTAAGCTTCAAATTATTGTCAAACATAACTCAATACAAATATTATCGCTAGACTAAAAATAAGTTTTATCTATGGTCAATAAAAAATTTGAATGTTTTCAAATATGTGAAATTTTATACGTGACTTGCGAACTTTCCTAGCACAAAATGTTTTGCAATCTGCAACCCCCATAACCAAGATATTTTCTGTCATATTCTTTGCTTTCCATAGTGTTTTTTATTACCCGCTGCGTTTGCCCCCATAACTCAGGATTTATCTGGGGAAAACAATCTGTGACAATAATTCTTAGGCCTGACATAATGTACCTCAAATGTTTTATTCGTGTTTATCGCCGGCAGTTTTTCCACGTCTGCCGCGGCAGCACTTTTGGCCAAACTTTGTTTTTCGTTTCGATTTTCTTTCTTTTTAGCAATTGCCGAAATATGGCATAATATTAGAGTCCACTTATTGACTTAATGGGCATCTTGATAGGAGGCAAATAAGAAATATTTGATATATGGGAAAGATTTCACAGCGGGTTGGGGTTTTTGGAACAAAAAAATGTTGCTTCTTAGGCTCGGGGTTGTTGGCAGTCAGGTTTCCACTAATTAAAAGTTCGGAAAATGGTTTCCTGTGACATCTGCAAGATCATTAATAAGGATATCTGTTTTTTCGGATTCTTTTTATATTCATTTATTGCGCTGCAAGGAAATTCCGTTCTCATGGTTGGCGGCAATGCAAATATTTATATAAGACAAAACTTTTGTTGCCATTTCGCTGGGCTGTCTGGGTGAACAAAAGGGTTAATGAGTTCAAGCAGCTACTTAGACGACCTGATTAATGATCGGCAGTTTGCTGCCAAGACATGTATGCAAAATATCACAGATACGGGGACAAACTTTGCATAGGATCATTAATTAAATCACATACACACACAAAGGATCTGCCAAAGAGAGCGACAAAATATGCTAATTTTCAGGCAAATGGGAAAAAAAAGTAAATCCCGAATAGAAAAATTCACATAATTCCCAATTATAAATTCATCGAAATGACATTTAGGCCTGGGAGATCTCTCACCTTGCCGCGACTCGACTCAACACCCCATCATCAGTCACCTCACCTCAGCATTGTCAGGCGAATTAATGATTCTACCCCCCAAAACCACCCAAAGGGTTACTCAGTAACGCTTAAAAAAAATCATAGTTAAATATAATAAATGTTTGTTTTTACTCGACTCTATGCAAATGCTCGGCTCACACTCAATTAACTTTGTTGTCAATCAAATGCAAATATTGTGGTTCCTTAGAAAAACTTCCATCCATTGGCAATTGCAATTTGTTTGGCTTTTTTTTTAAATGCTGCCTTTCTGCTGTTGTGGTTCATTAGAATTGCTCAATTATTCCATCAATATGCATTTGTTGTTAATCGAATTTTCGTAGCCAGCTTTATCGCACCGTTTCATGCATATTTAAGTGGTTCGTTGGTGGGTTGTGTGAAATCCGAAAAAGAAAGGGAAAAGGAAAGGAGCTCGGGAAATGTTTGTAAATATTCCTGGGAAAGTTTGGCTAGCGTGACTCCCTCTAAATGGGTCTTCCAAGGAACCAGAATTTGAATAAATATTTTAAAGTTGATTTGGCAAGGTAAATAAATGTTACCCATGGCTGATGTGTCGCAATTAAAGATTCATCGAATGCATTTGTATGTTTATGCAAATGCAGTCAAAAGCATTTAGCAATTTCCTTTAATGCATACTTTTCTTTTGATTTGAATAAAAAAATTTAAAACCTTCCACTACATTTTGCCAAAAGCTGCGAATCAAGAAAAATAAAATGCTTAAATATTAATTACATATATATTTAATAAAAATATTTTAATATAAATCGTTAAGTGATTTAAAAGCTATTTATTAACGTAAAAACTACATTTTTAACAACTGTCATTATACTTGGTAAAACGTTTAAACACATTTTCTCTACTTAAAATTTAAATTTCCATAATCTATACAATAACGTCATCTCTTCAAACATTTAATAAGAAGCAATTCACAACATTGTTAGACATAGCTTTAACAAACTGCGGACACGTATCAGACCTTTGAAAATACCTTCTCCTCACATCCTTCAAATAAAATCTTTACACTCAATACATCTACCCCGAACTCACACTCTCTAATTCGCTTCAACCAGGATGATCAATCAAAATCTGAATTTTAATGTTATGCGGTGCATGAAACCCTAACAACAGGAACAAGAATAACCATATCCTGTGAGTAACAACAGCCAAGGAAAGAGGAAAACAAAAGTGTAAAAGAATTTCCATTGCGACCCAGGGGTGCGGTCTTTTGGCATTTTTCTAACCCCTTTTTCAACGCTGCGAAAGGCAAAATATTTGGAAAATTAAAAAAAAAGACAGAGGAGAAAGCCGGAGAGAGTAAAGTGAAAGGGGGACTGACTGGTAACCAGTAGCTGCCACAGGAAAATAGTAAAAATTGTAAAAATCCTATTAAGAATTTCCCGGACGTAACTCCTGTTCAGCTTTTGCGTTTGACACTTCTCTTTGTACACCTCTTATTTTTAGAGTGCGTGGGGTATATACGCTGCAATAAAGGAAGTGCATTTTTATATCAGAGGAATATATTTTGTAACTAAATGTGTAATTAATCTACTAAGGAATTTTTATCATAAATATACAGTATAAGTTTAGAAGAAATTTACAGAGTATTTTTCAGTTAAGGATATACGTTTTTATACACAATTTGGCATTTCCGAAAAGTAAATAATATATTTTTCAATGGGTATTTTTGACTCTATGACTGGCCTGAGTCTATTTAAATGTTGGGGGTCTGTATTTTCTAGCGGGGGCAGACTGGCTTAAATGTCTAATTTAAATGCATGTGCTTTTAACAGTTGCAGACAGAGATTGATGATTGTTTTCTGGGCTCTTTTTTCGTTACAAATAATTGCTTACAAATTTTGCGGCACAGATTTCCCTCATTAAATGATATATGTATTTCTTGGAGAGGGCGACTTTCAAGCAGGTGCAGTCGTTCCCTTCATAAATCTACCCCCCAAATCACACATCCAACTCCTTCACATGTGTGGAAGGAACAAAAGGCACTCCACATATGATGTCATCTAATCTATTTTCATGTTGTTGAATTTATGATCTTTAACCAATCTAGTTAGCTATGCTCACTTAACAGAAATTGAAAAACTTCTCCGCTATCTATGCGTCCATTGTGCATTTGAGGTGTATAGAATTTTTAAAGCATTTATCGTAAATTTTGATCGAATCGGAAGGGACACTTTGTCCACTTGGCCAACCCTTAACCACACACAGACCCACATCCTGTTGCCCTTCTGGCCCAAGCCAACAAACAATATAAAGTACTGATTAGGAAGCGAAAAACAATAAATGGACCTTTGCTGCCACACAGAGGCAGATGAATGAATGGCTGAATGCCACAATAGATGGCAACGGATGTCATTACGGATAATTTAAAGTGGCCCTTGGTCAGGAGAAAGATCACAAGTGAGAAACTGGAGTGACTCGACCAGTGATACTCATTGATTTTTAGTAATTATTTAATTTTTAATTTTTTTATTGTCATACATATATACACCTAAACCTTTTTTTGTTATAATACACTTTATAAGCGTCATTTTGATTAGCATAAAAATGTACAATGCCATCCCACACTTCTTTGACAAACAAAAAATATGAAATCCTAAAATAATTTGAAGTCTTAATTACCAAAAGAATTATTATTCAATTGACAAAAATTTTAATTCGAAAACCTGAGCTATTGCTAACTATGATTAAAAATATTATACCCTCTAAAATGAGGTCAACACTTTTAGGGACCTGAAAAGGAAATCGTAAACATAAATGAATCACACCACGAGAGAGGGGGCCACAACAATTCGTTGCGCCCCTGGAAAAAGGTCACTTCAAATAAATATGTCAAAATGAAATCGAAACCAACGCCAACGCAGTCATTGATCCTCATTGAAAAATCCCTAAAATTAGTTCCACCCAATTGAGTTTCGCCAAATGCAATTTCTCTTTGAAATTCGGTGGCATGTCGCGCATTTCACGTTGCAAGCTTATTAGTTCAGGTAGCGAAAAAAATAATGCCGCAGTTCATGGGCCATTATTAATGGGACAGAGGCAGGTCACACTTAAAAAAGGGTTAATTTGGCAAAACTACAAAAAAATATTTGGTATTTAATCAAACTTTGACAAAAAAAAAAAATGACTGCTGTGAGCAGCTGAGGATATAAACTATCAATTTCAGGTTGATTTGGAAAAAGTTATTTTCTTTGTGATTTTCGTATTTTTTTTATAAGGTGTAACATCATGATTTCTTGCAAAAATTTGACTAAAATGAAATTTTTAGCTGTGAATGCTAATAGAATGAAAATTGTATAACGAATTCACAGTTTTGATTAAAACACCAAAAGTAGAGTTCATTTTTTGGGGTTTCGGTTACAAAAAAACATGTCTTAAGGATTTTCACCTATGTATGTCCTAAAATGGCATTTAATTCAGTATGTGTCATATAATGTTGACAATACAGATACAACTAAAATTTAAAGAAGCATTCCTCAATGTGTAAACGTTTTCGAAAGGGACCACAATGATATCTCACAACACTGTAGAATGCCCTTTCTATCTGCTTCACTTTTTCATGATGGCCAGGCTGGCTTTGAAGATACTTCTTGAGGAGATACCAAACATGTCCATCAGTACAGCGGGTGGTCCCGATCTCGGTACAGTGGGCACATAGAGGTGCTTGACCACAAAGTTCCGGGAGTCGGCCAGGGCACTGAGCACGGCCTCGCCCAATCCGCCCTGCTGGTAGTGATCCTCCACGACGACAATCCGACCGCCACAGAGTTTTCCATGCTTCACAATTAGTCGCACATCCAGGGGCTTCACTGTGAAGGGGTCAATTACCCGGGCCGTGATGCAATCCTCCTCCAATCGCTCGGCGGCGGCTAGACACTCGTACAGTGTGACCCCGGCTCCGATCAACAGCACCTCATCAGAAGGTTTCTGGCGCACCACTTTGCCCAGTCCCACGGCAAACACCTCATCGTTGTTGTAGATCACAGTGGTGTTCGGATATGTGGTCCGGATGAAGCACACCCCCTTCGTGTTGGCGGCCAACTCCACCGCCCGCTCCGTGCTCACGGCATCCGTGGGATAGAAGACTGTACTGCCGGGAATACTGCGGAACATGGCTATGTCCTCCAGTCCCATCTGCGAGGGTCCATCCTCGCCAATGCTGCAGCCACAGTGCGAGCCCACGAAGTTCACATTGGTGTTCGAAATGGCCCCCATTCGAATCTGATCGAATGCCCGGGTGAAAAAGGTGGCATGCGTCGAGACGAATGCCACAGTGCGACGTCGACAGGTGGCGCCCACGGCCACGCCCACCAGATTCTGCTGCGCTATGAAGCACTCGATGAACCGCTCCGGGAATGCATTCCTCATCTTATCCGCGTACGTGGAGTTCTTCGTGTCGCCATCGAGGGCAATCACCCGGGCATTATCCGCCGCGATCTTGGCCAAGGCAGTGCCATAAGCCAAGCGAGTGGCCACCGAATCGCCCAGCCGATAATTGGGCGGATTACACAGCAGTATGTTGTTGATATTCACCTCTGGAGCGTTGCCGCACTTTCCTATCTTTTTGGGCGTCAAGTGCACATTCGGATTGGAGATCATCATCTGCGGGGGGAAGTTATTAATAATAGGAATTATAATCACCATAAAAATATAGGATTAAAAAAAACATTAATGGTAGTATTCTTAAAAATGGTAACACAGATTATTGCCAAATCAATTGTATTTCGTTATATAAAATTATTGTAGCATCCATAATGTGGGTCTGATTTAATTAGAGCTAAGATCAAAAGAGGAGTATCAAAAACTTAAATGACTTGAATGAAAAGTAGGGTAGATTTGATTGTTTTCTCGTAAAGCTTATGAAATCCTTTTGTTCAAATGGGTGGTCATACAGATGGACATGGTCATATCAGAAATAAAGATATTTTTGATATTTTAATAACGCCAATAAATCTTCAAAAATATTTTGATTCCATATTTTATTCACGGCTTTTCATTTTACAATTTGAAACCCTACAATGCTGAGGCTTTTACAATGCATTGTAGGGTTTCAAAATGTAAAATGAGAAACCGGGAATACCTCTAGTAGTAAAAGGCGTTTATTAACCCTACCTGTAAGTTCTTGATCACAGCCTCAGCCCGCTTTCCGAGTGGCTGCCCGTACATTTCGTCCAATCCCTCGATTCCCACAAAGTCCTTTCCCTTAACTGTTCTGGCCAAAAGGGCAGTGGGCTTGCCCTTCGTGCTGGCCGCATTGTGAAAGCCCTTGACCAGTTCATCGATGTCGTGGCCGTTTAGGACCAGTGCATTAAAGCCAAAGGCATCCAGTCTCTCCCGGTAAACCTCCATTTCAGCACTGGCATCAGAACACATCAACTTGTTTATATCGAAGATCACGCACAGGTTGTCCAGGCAGTAGTGACCGGCGAAATGGAGCGATTCCCAGACGGCTCCCTCGGCACATTCGCCATCGCTGAGGATCACATAGGTGCGATAGTCGGCCTTGTCCAGGTACTTGCCCACATAGGCCATTCCGGCGGCCACGGCGGTGCCCTGTCCCTCCAGGTCACTGATCCGACCTTAATCGCAGATTCCGCAATTCCTCCACCGGAAAGAGTCCTGCCTCCGCCCAGACTGCATATAGAATGGGCGCGGCATGTCCTTTGGACAGGACCAATCGATCGCTGGAGGGATCGCGAGGATGCTTCAGGTTCAGGCGCATCTGTTGGAAGAACAGCACCGTCATAATCTCCGCCAGCGAGGCACAGGACGTCGGATGACCCGACTTGGCCGCCTGCGTCGAGGTGATCGAGTGGATGCGCAGCTTGTGGGCCACGTCCTTCAGGTTCTGAAACACCTTGCTGTCCAGCTTCGGGAACGACATTTTGCTCTCTTTCTATTTTTACAATTTAATTTTGAGTATTTATGAAAACACAATAAAAGACTGACTGTTTCAGGTTTTTATTCAATTGTATTGTGCTATGAATTGGGTTGAGGTATTTAAAACTAATTTATGTCTTAAATATGTAAAATGCATTTAAGACTTTTGCTCTCTTATTGAATAAGTAATTAAACGCTAAATTGTGTTTTCCATTTAGACTGCGATTTTATTCACTTATTATTTCTGTTTCACAAGACTATTTTATAAAACAAGAGAGAACGCTATAGTCGGGTGCCCCGACTATCAGATACCCGTTACTCAGGTAAAGGGAGTGCGAGGGAGATGGAGATAGAAACTTTGATCACGCATAACTTTTTAACGAATGGTCCGATTTGAAAAATTTCTTCTACATTTCGATAGGTATTGATAAACACAATAAAACTGCATTTTTACTTTTCCGAAATATTTAAATTTTTAAAATCGTATATAAACGATTGTGGGCGTTAAATTGGGCGTGGCCCTTTTGAAACAAACTTGCGCTGCGTAGGAACTCCTAGAATCTGCATGCAAAATGCCAATCTTCTAGCTTTTATAGTTTCCGAGATCTCAGCGTTCATACGGACAGACAGACGGACAGACGGACAGACGGACATGGCTATATCGACTCGGCTAGTGACCCTGATCAAGAATATATATACTTTATAGGGTCGGAAACGCTTCCTTCTAGCTGTTACATACTTTTGCACGAATACAATATACCCTTTTACTCTACGAGTAACGGGTATAATTATTACTAAAGATAACATGCTATAACATTGTTATTCTGCTTATTTTTGAAGGAACATTTTTAGCACAAATGATATTGCACATTCGAATATTCACCTAGCAGTTATTTAAATTCTATGACCTACAAATTTGTTTTATGATCAATACCTTTTTTGCAGCTGCTTTCCAAGTTGTTCCTTTTGAAATAAATAAAAAAAACGTCAGTTCCCATTTCTTTCCTTTTCCAAGTGCTTAGAAAATTCCCAGAAATAAGACTTATAAAATGTTTTTATGGCTTTCGCAGAATTGTTTTTTATTAATTGTAAACTTGCAGCAAATTGCACACATCATAACATCATCCCTACTCGAATCAATCAAATCGCCAAGAAAAAACATAACAAATCAAAAGTCGTAAATATTTTGAAGTAAGAAACTCACAACAGAAAAAACGGATCCCTCAATGGAAAACGAATAAAAATTGCAGTGTGAATTTGCGGATAAAAAATTGCAGTTCTCACAGCGGTTAAAATGGGCAAAAAATAAACCCAAAATGCAGGGGCAACCCTCTGAACCGATAAATGCCCATCAATGAGCCAAAAGAGGTGCAGTTTTGAAAACAGTTTAAATTTGATTTGGGTGCGAACTGGAATTGCGCGAGGGGTTGCATTGGATGTGGATTGTAACCCTTTCCCCGGGTCACCGATGCGATTCGTCTGTCCGAGCGCTAAATAAATCATTTCTCTTCGATTAATTCGCTTGCTGACATGTGCACACTCACATGTCCCGGCTGAAGGGGTTTACTCCGAACATTTTTTATTTTAAAGAAGGGTTTACACATGGTTTCGGCTAAGCGACCGCTACTCATGTCAAATTTTGGCTTTTGCTCTCCTTTGTAGTGGCATGGAAAATTGTCCATGGCCGTGCAGTCATAAGTTATAAATTAGTTAAGTTCCTTCCTCGAGTACTTTAAAGTCAAGCGAGGGGTTGCTCAACACAAAAAAAAAATAAAGGGTTTCCCTCCATTCCCTTCCCCTTTTCCACGTCGTTGAGTTCGCTTCTTTATGTGTGTTTTTTGAAATTTTTAAGTGCATTGATTAATTTTTATTTTGATCGCTTCGAAATCAATATTGTTTGCAAATTTCTTGTTTGAAGACACTGGCCCAGCAGTTGGTGTGTGTAATTTGTCGTCATTTGCAACGCCCAGAAATGCTCCCTTGATGTTTGCCACTTAGCAAAGGGTTCAATATCCACCGCCAATGTTTCCAGTACGAATCCAAGCGAATTTATGTAGTGGAAGTGCGTTATAAGAGTTTTGCAATCTGATAGCCGTGAGAAAGGGGATTAAAGGTTTGACATCTGGATCGGAGAACACAAGTAGCATAATCCTTGCATTGTCTGCAAGATATGTTTGGGTGGCAAACCATTTTTAAGAACAACAGACATTTATCATCAAAGGATTCAGGATGAACAACAGACTTTTATCATTAAAGGACCCAAAAGAAATTGATTTTGTTAGAAATAAAATTGTTAAGACCCTAAAAAAAAAAAAAAAAAATGTGTGTTGTAAGAGGGATTTCCTTAAATCTAAAACAATAAATATGTTTATTGTCAGGTTTATTGTTGTCATTTTAATCACAAGCAATTGATGTCCTGATATAGAATCGTAAGCTGGGAACAAGATTTCATAAATTGCTTCAATTGTTTTAATTAATGTATTTAATTAAATATCACTAAAAATAATAAAAACTCTGGTGCGAAGCATAATTTTATTATTTTTTGGACTAATAGACAATTCAATTAACTGTTGACAACAGTACCAAAAATCGTTCCCAATTGGGGATGTGAGATGCGTGGAAAATCGCATTCTGATCTGGGATAAATGTTCCCAGGCTAAGCAGGCACTCGACTTCGATGGGACATTTGACTAAGTGGAAACGATTGACCTATGTCCAAGCTAATTCATTGATTTCATCCATTTGCATAGGAGATTCTCTGCAATTCCCCTCCCTTTGATCTGATTGCGACGCGTGTCCGGTTCGCCGATGCAAATTGGTCACACCCTTCAGATGTCAAAAGAAATATCGACGGATAGACGGCAAATCGATTTGCATGGAATGGAACGAATAATAACTTTTGCCCGGGGTGACATAATTGTGTGAGGACCAGCTTGACCAGGCTGCGTTCCATCATAACTCATAATAATGAAGTGCAAATGCCTCTACGCTACCCTGGGCATAATCGGCTTTCGATCCAAACAAAAGGACTCTGCCTCGGGAGTCACGTGCCTTCCATTTCAATCCGTGTCCTCTGCTCTCCTTTCTTTTTCCGGGTGAAAGTCCTACGCGGCGAATTTGCTACGCTTTGATTTCTCCTTTTTTCGATGTGATCCCTTTTCGCTTCTTTTATTGTCTTGTCTGGACATTTGGTCGCTACCTACTTGAAGTCGTGCCCCTGATTAAATTATATTCGTTTATCCTTGGGTTAGAAGTGAGTCGCTCTCGTGGCGGAGATAATTCTCTTTGTGGGATTTCTCCGTCAACCGATTTTGATTGAGTCGTCGACTTGTAAAATATTTATCTAAAATTCGAGGCAGATTTTTATTTTAATTAATCTTTAGATAGTTTTAAAGGATTTAATATCACATTTTAAATCTAAATATTTTTGTTCTATTAGTTTATTATTTCAGTTATTATTAATACTTTTCTTAAAAGTAGTCTATTTTTTCAAGTTTCAAGTAGGCACGAACATACCTTAATATTAAAATTTAAATTTAAGGAAGTGGCACATTTTTCCTTGACACTTTGTTTTTACTAAAAATAATAAAAACTAGGTGGCACAAAACCAAAGCGCTTCTTTATACACACTCAAGCCATATCTATAACCATCGCATTAACTGATAAATCGAAGTTAGGCCCACCATCTGCTTTCCATCTCCCAGCGAGTGGAATATATATCCCTTGGACTCCCGACAGTTCAAGCACCGTTGGTGTCTAATGATTGGCCAACTACCAAAATAGGTGGCACTGATTTAATAGCTGCTCGGTGGTCTCCGTGTTTCGAGTTCTTCGCCAGCTCATTCCACACAAACACTCTCCTTATGTCCGTCTCTATTTTCAATTTCGTTAATGACCCAAAAGTGGCGTAAACCAATTTATACCGAGTCGGAGTCTCGCACACAAGACAAATAAAAGCGCAGCAGGACATTGACAACAACACCCGGGCAATAGATGAGGAATGCACACCGAAAAAAAATGTGGTGATTTAATAATTATTTTATTTTCTTATTATACTGTATACAAATTTATTATACAATTATAAAAATAAAACATAATATTTTAAGCTCATAAAAATTGAGTTCAATATCACTGAATCGTTTCAACTAATTTGCCAACTGACTTTAAAGGACACTCAATATACAATTATATATAGAAATTATTATAGATTATCTAAAGCACTAACTGTTTCTTTCAGTGTGGTCAAAAGTGAAGCAGATTGGTAGGTAGGATCGAAAAGTAGAAACGAGACTGTCGACCGGTAATTGACTGCCGCTGATGGTCACTGGCCAAAATGCTGATAATGAAGCGCAATTGTGTTCAACCGCTGGTCAGAAACAAATTTCGTTTAGGGCAATTAATCATATTCGGGGACCGAAGGAGTTACAAACTCATGACTTCTCTTTTCTACAAATTTAAGGTGTTGCCTCGTAAAATAAATCATTGGAAAATTCTTTCTTTCGCGTTTTGTTTGTGGACCTAGACAACCTCCTGTGGTTTTGTGGGTGTTGACACAAGTTTTTTTCGGCCAGATAATAGTTTAGATTTCTTCAATTTAGAGTTGGGCCAATGAATCGTGAGATTAATGAATAGTCGGCAGTAAATGTCAATCCAAGAATCTCAAGAAGGCTTTGCTCAACTTCACTTAATTTCATTTTGCCTTGGTCTTTAACATCAAACAATTAACCGGCCAAAGCTTTTATTGTCGGCACTTTGATATTTGATTTTCCTTTTCCTGTACTGAAATAGCTACAGATATTCCCATCTCATCCCAAGAATCTATGCGAAGCTTCGTTTGTGGCCATATTACGTTTCACTTTCGCTCCACATACAGGCTTTTCGCATTTGGGGGCGTTGTTTGCCTGGCCCTTTTTCCGCCTTCCACTTTTCCGACTTGGTTTTCGCAGGAAAACTGGGTCACTGATGTCGCCCGTTTGTTTGTTCAATGCGAGGGTTCCTTCACGGGTTAGTGTACTTTCCTGCTAAAATCAATAGACTAGCTCACTGTAATTAGCTTTGACTTAAAGTGCATGCCATGCGAAGTTCAGGTTCTGAGAAGGTGGAACTCGGTCTATTGTGAGTCATTACCATGAGGGGCTAATGGCTCTGAATGGCAGATTTGAAGCAAATGGTATTGTAAGCCCACGACTGAGGGACTTATACTTTTCAAACGAATAATGCATTTGTATTACAACAACAAATTAATTTATATTATAGATTAAGTGTTTGCATTTTTAGGTTTAAAATGTATTAAATTTTCATTAGTATTAGTTTTCCAATTAATTGAATTGAACTAACCCGAACTTTGGTTTAATTTTTTATTATTTTTTTTTTCACAAGTAAGCTTCTTTTTTTCGTTCAACCAATTTCCACTGTAGATTACAAATTTAAATAGATTAATTAGAAATATATAGTAAATTATAAAATATTTTCTCTATACTTACCTAGATTCAACCACCCATATTGCCAGTGTGAAACTGAGGACTGGTCATAACCATGTTTGGGGCTTGAATATAGTTGGGGGAGGATGCAGGCATCTCGTAGTTATAAGGACTTGAATAGCTGTGAAATGGGAAAGTATATTTAAATTCATAACAATATTTAGAAAAACTGTCGAATATTAAATATATAATAAATATAAAATAAACATGGTTCCACCATAACATTATTTTTGGCTTATATCAAATAATTGTGTCATAAATGGATGGATTTCGCTTTTTTTTCGCAGTGCTTGAAGTAGCATATTACTCACCTCATTTGACTTAGAGGATAGGAATTCATGTTAATTTCGCAGGCACCGCCCATGCCATAGACCTGACCACCGGTGCTCATCTCAGCCACGCCAGCGGTTCCAACTGGTCCGTAGATGGGACGGGAATCGGGGGCCAAGCCTATGTCTATGCCATTGGGAAAGTGGTTGAAGTGGTTTCCATCGTTGGCAAATGGTTTGTAGTCAGAGGAATACACTGTGTGCGTCTGCAGCAAATCGGTCATAAGGCCAGTATTATTTCCAAAGAAGTTATTGGCAGGCATTGCCATCGAAGGGGGAAAGTATTGTTGGGCACCTAAAAAATAATTGTTAAATTGTAGAATATATAATGGTCACTTATTAGGCAATACCTAGACTAGGACTAGGATAATATTGCTGAGCCCCAAGAGGTGAACCAAAGGCTTGTTGCATTCCTTGATAAACAGAAGACTGTTGATTTTCTGAAAACAGAAAAGGATACAAAACTGAAGATAATTACGATTGTTTGATACCTTGAATTGGGCTTTCACAATATTGTTGAGTTGCTGCTGCAAAAAAAACTAAGTGAATGAAAAAAAATTAAATTAAAATAATACATACCTTGATTGGAGCTGGCAAACCTTTGATTGGTACCTATTTTAAATGTATAGAATTGGTTAACTTTTTATTATTTTTGTTCACGAATTTTATACCTTCATTGGAATTGCTATAATATTGTTGGGTACTTTGAGGTGAGTTGTTGAAATACTGCTGAGTTTGAGCATTGGCAAAAGATTGTTGAATTCCTGCATTTTAAAAATAAAAATATTTTTCTAATGTTTGCTAATAGATTTTGCTTACCTTGTTGGGCAGTGGCATAACACTGCTGAACACTTTTCTGATACTTTCGCATGAATTCTTCCATGTCGAAGCTGGTTGGATTCTGATTAGATGAAGCACTAGCCATGGATGGATGACAATTTTCCGCGGAAGATGACGAGGCTGATGATTGGCTGCCTATTTCCACATTATTGTGGCCGTCTCCTCCTCGTTGAGCTTGGTTTGGATCCATTTGCATGACTGGCATGGAATACATCGCATTGCCTGGATAATTCATTGGAGCCGGGTAACAGTAGATGGGAAACCCCGTACTTGGATCCACGCCCATTGGCACTGGCATCATCTGGTGTTCCTGGCCGAGATTCAGCTGGTGCTCCTGGCCAGGATTTCGCTGCTCGTAGTGGCAGCTACCAACAGGCTGACTAGGTTGCCTCATCGAGCAGCAATAGTTACAGGAATCATTGGAGCACTCAGAACTCACACAGGCAGACGAAGTGTCTGCCCTGGGTTCATTGACAATAGTCTCATTCGATTCCGAACCGACCTCGGGCAGAGATTTTCCATAGCTGTAAAAGCTGCCGGCTTGGGCAATTTCCCCGGACGAAGAGGATGCTGATTCCAACTGACCTTGCCCATAAGGAACTCTGGCATTCAAATCCTGTCCATTTGTGTTACAGGATTGCCAGCTACAAGAAGGGTAGCAAACTGGATCTAAAATGGCACAATTTTAATACGACTTACAAATAATCTTTAGGCATATTAGATTATTTCACTTCTAATTATCTAATTATCATAACTTCAAATTAATAATTACTCACATTCGCTATAGTTGTAATCTCGATAATCCATCTCCTGACCTTTTTGTTGAACCACCCTACTCGAGGCTATATTAAATTGTGAACTAAAGCGAAAAACCATTAGTAGCTAAACTATTAATACAAAAAAACCGACTCACTAACGAACACTCGTCTGCTTTAGAAAACCAGTGAAATTGCTATCTGAATCCGCCTCAGGTTTTCTTTTCTCTGGATTTTTCTTCTTTTCCTGATCACATTTGGGAATATTACTTGTGTTTTTAATTCTTGATTCTTGAGCACTCCTCAAGCTGTTTGATTTACAGGTATTTTCGAAGCTTTCAATTGAGTTTTCCTCATCCTCTTCGTCACACAAGTAGTCGGTGTTATCATCATTTTTATCCGAGGTGTTGTTCATAATGATCAGCAGATGAAAATCTTCGAGCTTTGTTGTTTTGTGACACTATATAAGTATCTAGCTCATTCTTAAATGTTTTGGAATTTGGCTCCCTTATTGGAAATATTTTAATTTCCTCTTTTTTCTTGATGCCTACTTTGATCAAGTGATGTAAGCAAACAAAGTCAAAGGGCTTTTCTCGCTTGCTATATAGAAACAATAATAATAAATATTCAAAATTATTAAAATTTATATTAAATTTAAATAAAGTTGTCCAAATATCTGTTGCAGATGAAGTACTAACTTCAGAATTGTATGGACATACAATTTGTCTACTTATAGTAATATTAGCCATTTATGTATATAAGTTTTTACCGACAACAACCTGTGTCTCAATGGAATTTCCACCTATTTGCAGTTCCCACCTGGCTATCTCAGATCAGCTTAACATATGTGGCACTAATTTAGGTAAATTAACTACAAATATGTTATCATAAACTGTCTCTCTACTCACCATAATTGCAGGCGCTAAAAAGGAATTCGAATTAAAAGTAAACCTGAATGAAAACTCGATCTAGGACACGCGACCGACACTATAAGAGCATTTGCATACCCTATAATTTCCCCCTCGCTTATCATCGCCAAAAAATCAAGCCACACGCAAAAAAAAAAAGGAGAGCGAAGGACCCTAATTTCCAGGTCGCTTATTGTCATGTCACGACAATTAAACAATTTTTTTTGTGCGCTGGTTCCAGTGCGCTTTTGAGCGATTTAAATTAAGATAGGCGGCAAATTAGCGGCCCGAAATGTTTGCATAATTATTATTTGACTGGCGAACTTATCAGGCGCCGCAGATCGCCGACTGCCACAGATGTTACACTTTTTTCACTTCTGGGGTTAAATGGGTTGCCGGGTTCGTTAAAGGGTACACCCTCTTTCCCTTTGACCCCGATGACTTGGACATTGGCGGCACAGACTGAGATCTGCGGTTAAGCGTAACCTTTGCTTTTTAACCCTTTTGGGCGGAGTGTGCCTGGCATGACACAACGGGAAAATTCTCAGCCCGTCTGCCTTTATCCACAAATGGTTTTCCCTTTTAAGGTGACATATTGGTTTTCACGATTAAGATCGCTAAATGTTTGCTTACTCCTCCTTTTCACGACTGAATGATTGTCCTTTGCCATTTCGTTGCTCAAAAGGGTTATCTGATCTTGGGGTTTAAGGATTTTAGTTCGATAGTGGTTGTTTTCAAAGTTATAAAAAATATTTACTTGCAAGTTGAAGTGTAAAATTAGAAAATACAAATTTAAAAGCTTGTTGAATGATTTTTAGCTTAAAAACTATTGCATTTACAGGGTTCAAGCACTTTTTCTCATCTTTATGGTACACTAAAATGGGATATTTTATTGTTGAATATTTGCAGATTTGCAAACATTAGAATTTTACTATTTTTAATGTCTGGAACTCATTACATTGTTTATTTCTGAAATATACTTTAAAGTTTCAGAAACTTAATCATTTTGGAGTCCAAAAAAATTGAAGAGTGCCAAATGCATTTAATTTTTTTTTAAATCTTCAATTATTGACTTCTGACGAACCGAAATTTCGGATTGTTGTTCTGAAAAGTTTCAATAATAAGAAACGTATATTTTTGTTTTTTTTTTATAAAATTGTATTTATTTTTCGCTTGTTTGTCTTATAAAAATTTTAATTGCTTACAAATGCTAATTTTTTACATTCGATTAATTTAAATATTTTTTTTGTTTAATTTGCAATGCCAAAAAGTTAAATAATTTGTTTTGAATTTTGCTAAAATCAATAATAATGGTAAAATACATTTTGAGTTTTGTTATTCATGATTATTCGTATCAAAATTGCTTAAATGTGTTGCTTTATTTAATTTTGGTTTGCAATTTATTTTTTCTGTTCGGCGGTTTTTTTGTATTCTGTAGCTATATTGTAGACATTTGTATTTTATATTTTCTTTCTTTTTTGTAAACATATAAAATTTGCTGTTTGCTTAAAATCTATTTTGTACAATTGAGTTGTTGTCTTTTGTTATTCTTGTTGCTGCGGTTGCATCTTTGTTTGTTTGTTGGTTCTGTATTGTAGTTCTGTATTAACTAGTTTAGGATTTATATACGTAAGTAGTTAAAATGCAAATATTTGACAATTAGTTTTTAGTTGAATACGATACTTGTGGTTTTACTCATATGTATAGACACTAATTAGGTTTATGATAATTATACACATTTGAAGTATTTCTTTGCTGCTGCTCTCAAAATGATGTATGGTAATAATGTGTTTGAACCAACCGGGAAACCTTTGCTTGCAAAATTAAATGTTTTCCTCAAACTGAAATCGGAAAATTTTGACACCCAAAAAAAGTAACAAACAATCAATATCACTTTAAGCAAATCGATGACAAATTTTGAATTTTCCTCTCTATCTCTACCAAAAATTGTTTAAAAATATTTTTCTTATTTTGTTGTGGAAATATCCCATTTTTTTACAAAACTCCTTTCTCCTCATGTGTCCATACCCAAAAAAGAAATCACAATGCGCTTTGATTGAGCCTGCCTTTTCCAGAAAATCCCAAAAGACTTTCTCTTCACCCGGATGAAAAATGGAAATTTAATTTTCCTTGGAGTTGGCATCGGTCACATCGTCATCATCGTTGTTCTGACTGCCGCTGCTGATTTCGAAGGATATCTGTATGACCGTCGGCCGTCGCTGGCTGGAATTGTAGCTGTAGATCCTCAGTGCGTAGCAGAAGATCTGGGCCAGGAGATCCCAGCATCCGAACTCCGACATGGTCATCGATCCCTGTTGACTTCCCAGTGGCACGGAAATATTGGCACGGAATTGAGGACGATGTTGCTGCTGTTGATGTTGCTGTTGCTGCGGCGAGTGTTGCGGTTGCTGCGGTGGTGCAGCAGGTGTTGCAGTTGTCCTTGGACTCGTTGCCGCCTGTTGGCCATTTTGCTGATTGCTTCTGGCCAACAATTGGGCTTGATCGGGTATGAAATAAGCAATGGCCATTGCGATATTTTATTTTATACAAAACTTAATTTTTGTATAAATTTTTAAAATGTATTTAAACTTTAGTTGAGTAAATATTTTTAAAGTTTCTAGTTTTAATCTCCCGGAAATTGTATTCCTTTCACTGCTTGCACTTTTAAGTTCTTTCAAGTTTTTATTTTTCGTACGAAGCACTTGGAAAATTTGTCTGACTCATTTGGCGGGAAAACGTGCGAGGAAAACTTGTCGCTTTTTGACGAACTTTTCTGGCTGTGCGCTTTTCGCTTCCGCTTGTTATTCAATGTTCTCTGGTCGAGGTTTCAGCGTGGACTGACTGTAAATATCCTTGCTGCAGTCACATTTATAAAATAGCTCTCTCCGTTCCTATAGGAAGCGGGTTTTCTCTCTCGCGGTGAATGTCACCCTCCCAATTTCCACCACCCCCCAGGAAGTGAGTGTGTGTGCATTGTGTGTGTGCTTTGTTTATGCCAACAACCAACCAATTGAACCACCAACCACAGGGACTCACACCACCGACAAAGTGCCACCACCACCACCACAGTCAGTTTACCACCCCAAAAACACGGCTGCCTTTGTTACCTTTACTTCGGAACTGGAAAGGGGGGAGGGAAAGTGGCTGAGAAACAGAGAGAGAGTCGGAAAATGAGAGAGAAATTGGGGGAAATTGGTTTACGTAGTACAATAACGTCACAGGAAACGTAAGCTCTTTGGGAGTTCGCTTTTCGAGGAGCGGTTTCGAGTTGAGTTCGAATTTCAGGGGTTAGCTTGGGCTTACTTATTCTAGCTCTGTGTTTTAACTTTAAGGGGAAGTTTGGCTCAGTTTTCCTATTTCGAAACTCGAATTTCATTTCGGAAACACATTTCTCTGGGCTTCTAAGCGGATGAATCAACAATTGTTTGTTAGGGTTTTTGGTTTACATAGAAACTGGTTTTTAGTAATTTATTTGTCATCTACAATTCGCTTATTTGTTTTTTATGGTTGCCAAATAATTTATTTTATGTACTTATATGGTTAAATGTTATATTGGATATTTTTCTTTAAAAAATATGTAAAAGAAAAAATATTTATTTTTTGATTAAATAGTTAATACATACAAAGATAGTTTTAAGATTTTTTCTAGCTTGCATTTCTATTTAATGGTAATTTAAAGTACTTCACCTTTATTTGCGCTTTACATTTAATATAGTGTCTCCTTCAACTTAGTAACTTACTCAACTAGTACCCTGCTTTCAAGATAAACCTCCTTCAACTCAAGTCTTACAATTACAATCCTTTAAGAGGAACCTTATCCAATGGAGAGTAGTCCTTGAAGATATCCCCCTTTGCAACCTTAAACTTGACCAACCCAAAGGCCACCCAAATGGGTTGACCTTCAAGCTAAATCATTTCCAACTCCTGCAAACATTTTCCGCTGACGACAATTGTAACCTTGAAGAGTGTTTGCTCCCAGCTCCCCCATTTTCCTCTGTAAGCTGCAGCTCATCCATTATTATAAGCTGTTTCTGGATAGTTGCAAATGCAAGAAAACAGAGGTGGAGGTGAAGGTAAAAGGATATTGGAAAATGCTACTTTAGTTATAGTGAAAATTATAAATAGTTAATAAATACATAGAATTTTTTGGGTTCCAGATATGGATCGATAAAAAAAAACAACTCTGGATATAATTATTCCATGCATAAAATAATGTAACATCTTAGAAAAATATATTTTCTAAAGCATTTAAAATTCTTTCAAATTATTTATTTTTTTCTTGTTTTTTTATTTGATCAGCTTAAAGCTAGTATCCTATAAGAAAACTCATTTAAATTAAAATAACCTATAGTTCAAATATTATTATTTTTATTGAGTTAACGATAAACCCCTTTTCCTCCTACTCCTCTGTCTCACATGCTCAATAAATGTCATTTAAGTTGAAGCATTTTAACATTTTAGAAAGAATTCCTTGGGAGCAGGAAGCAGAATGCCAATTGAGCTTATTTCCTCCCCCTATGTTACATATTTGCTGAGGGAGCTCTGACAAAGTTTCAAGGCCATCGCCAAGGCCAAGGGGCCGCCATTTGTGGGTGCTGCTCCACAAGTTCCCTACCGGCGAAAGCTTTTTTCTCACTCAATTGGCTTCAAGGTCATGCCGGCCGGCATTTCCTCCCATTTTCAGGATTTTCTCTCCCTTTTTGTGCGTGCGACCTTGACAATGAAATTCGTTTAGGGAGCACAGAGCTCCTCCAAAGAAATTGTGGGCGGCACTGGGTGAGCTTTTCTTGACACAGTTGACAGCACGTGCTCTTTACATTGTTGTAAATATATAAATGCCAAGCTCAAGGTCGCTGGATATCGATTTGCCCAACTGCGAGGGTCTGCAAAAGTGAGCAAAAAAGTTATGGGTTGGGTGGAAATTGAGCTAATGACGTGAAAAGAGCTTAAAATGAGTTAAATGAAGTGAAAGCACGATTAGAATTGAAATTTTTGACAAATGGAGGTACCGATTTTAAAAGATTTATTTTTAGAACATGTAAAATAAGTCTGTATATATTTTTTTTAAATATATGCAATTATTCTTTAAAATTAAAAATTATTTAATGTAGGATGAGTATATTAATAAAGTTAATAAAGGGGTGACTTTAAAAGTAATAACATTACATAAATACATAACATTATTGCAAAAAAACTATATATTTGTTCAAAAGTTTTTATGATTCCAAGCACAAATCTTATTATCTTTCTAATACAATTATTAGGCATGATCCTTTGTTAATCATACCTAAATCTTTTGCGAAACAAAAATCATATTCTACATTTCAAATCTGAGGGCGGTACCTGTTAGCTAAACAGTTACCAACTTTACCCATCTCTTTATACAATCCCCTACAGAAATGTACGACAGATGTTAATATACTAATTCCGCATTCACCTTGCCCATCAGCCGTGAACCATTTTCCCTTGCCAAAACAATATTTATAATTTCTGCTACAGATTTCCATTTTTGCAATATGCAGTCACAGTAATCACAGCAAAGAAATATCAACTCTGAGGAAATTCTCCCCTAACCTGTGGACATGCAAGTATGGGCAATATGTTAGCATCACTTAAACCCCAACGAGTCCTTTTCCAGGACGCATACCCAAAGAGTCCCAATTGTGCGCTGTGTGTGTGTGTGTGTAACTACTTAAGCCTCATCATACGCGTTTTAATGCCCATCATCGGCCAATATCCAGCGGCCCATCATTATGTCTCCCTGCAAGGACCTCGACTTTCCACTCCTCCCCTCCCTCCCCTCCCCACCACTCATCCCGGTTTCGCAGTCCGGCCTGTGCAATTATTTCATGCATTGTTCAAGGATTGCTCGCAGAAATTTTCTTTTTGCACATTGTGAAAGGGCCAAAGTGTTGTCAGGGGATTTCCAGGCCATGGACAATGGGCTCCAGAGAGAGAAACGGAACGGAAATGGCAACAATGCCGAGCTGCCAGCTCTGTTCTGTAAACAATTGACCGTGCACTCGCGAAAAAATTTAACTTATATTGTCTTAAAAATAGTTTTGAGGTTTTGACGAGGCAAATAAAAAAAGCCCTTATCTGATCATTTCATCGTAAATTATAAATATTTTTTAGAATATTTATGAATATAAATATTTACTATGTTATTAAAATTAGTTTAGCAAAATAATAAGAAAAGAAAATATTTTATTCAAAATTTTCTATCTATGAAATCTGTAAATCTGTAAATTATTATAAAATTTGTTTCTTTTATTAACTAATATAAATATTAAAAATATACCTTTTTGAAATGAAAATTTTGGTAGCATAAATATTTAAAATTTCATAAACAAAAATTAAAAATTTTGTGCTCTTAAATAAGGGAAATGGGAAATTTAGCAAAATAATTAGAAAAGAAAAAACTTCATTCAAAATCTGTAAATGGTTATTATAAAATTTTTTTCTTTTATTAACACATGTAAATATAAATATTAAAAATATACCTCTTTGAATGAAACAGAGTTTTATTTATAATTTTGTGGCTAAATTTTGGATCTTAATTTTCACTTTTTATTTTTTTTCGAGTGTGTGTTTCGGTTTGGTTAGGCCTGCAGGATTACGCACCGGTTTACAAGATGCGACCGGGCCCTTAATGATTTCCACTTATGCATTGCAGACATCATCATCGACATCAAAATCGGTTGAGGGCCGAACAAAGTGCAGTGAAGGCTCACATCAAGTGTCCGTTCGTGTGTCTGTGCTGTTGCTAATCTATATGTAAATTTTCGCACAACACGAGAGACAGTTAAGCGCCCAAAATCGAAGCTGTAAATACCCTAAGAAATCTGCACGAAAAACTCCCCTTCCGACCACACCCACACGTGACGTCATGCCAAGTGTTTGACAAATGGCTTAAAAGGGCTAAGACAAAAAGGCAAAGTGATAAAGGGGGAATGGGAAATCGCTGACAACATACTAAAAACTTGACAAAGTGTGTTGGCAAGTGTCAGGCCCAGGACACGAGACTCGGAAAGTGGCAAAAGGACCACGACCCACGTCCTTTGCATATGTGCCGGGGCGATGTGTAAGTGTGCGTAAAAGATAAATAATCATGCGATATCATCTGAGGCGTTGGAGAGAACTTTTTAGTCCAGTCACCGACGCCAAAAATTAATTTCATACATTTTAAAATTTCAATTTATTTTGCTTTGCACGAACGCGCTGCGTCTTCAAGCAGACAATGGTATAAGGGACAGTCCTCCAGAAAATGGAAACCCCTCAGAAAATGGAAACTCCTCGCAGTTGGAAAAGCCACCACAACTTCCCCCCCGGACATGTGTGTCCTCATTTGGCTTTTGTTTTTCTTCAGCTCGTCCTTTTTTCACACTTGTCACTTGCATTTTTGACATTTCAGTTAGCAAAGGGATGGGAAAGAATGATGATGACTGCGCGAAGAAAAGGACAATGAGGGGGCTTGGCGGGGGATTCGGGTTGGAGGCGGTATATGTCAGCTCCTTAATTAATTATGTGTACTTGTATGCACAATTGCAGTGACAGTTGCTGTAAAGTGCAGCTCTGAAATTACATTGAACTTTAAGGCAAATAGCTGGCAAATGTGGGAAAATTTTGTGGAATTACTGGAAGCTTCAATTAAATCTTGGAGGCAATTGTATGATTATGTGGAATTCATTAGCTCAGTAAGTGAAATTCTAAGCAACATACTAATTCTACCTAGCTTACAAATTAACTTCTTTATTATAATTTAATGCGTTTATTTTTAGTGTCTTAACATTTTTATTATGACCATAATCTAATTAATAAAATA